ACATTATTTAATTTTATCCAGACAAGAGTTTTGTTTATGAGCACAAAAATATTAATAATAAAACGTCAAATAATAAATAAGGATTATTTTAATTAAAATGGAGCTTTGTGTTAAACGCAATTATTTATCATAGACCACGTATAATGTTCATGGATTATATATAATCTAGACGAGAGCGTTAGGGAAAGGCTTATCTCTTATGAAAATAAACAGAATATATATGTGTAATGAATCATAGTTACAATATAGTGTAACACCTTGCGATAGTAGCGCATCGCGTAAGAATACAATACTATAATGCTTATTATAAATTCAATCGCATGTTATATCCTTTCGAGCACAACATGTGTTTCGAGTTGGTTGAAAAAGTTGTACCTCTCTGTACATATCAAATTTATTTTCAATTCCTTTCTTCCTTTCAACTTTAAAAATATATTTTTTAGCTTTACAAATATATTAATATCGCAGTATCTATTTAATGATTATTTAATATTATTACTTGTGTGTGACGATTATTTGATAAATGTGATAAAAAACTTAAATATGTATAACCCTTACGGTACAAGGTGAAGGAATATGCAACGTAAGTATAATAAAATATATGTAAATATAAATTAAAATAATATATGCAATAATAATTGTACCATTATAACATTACAAAAAAAATTTTATTTAAAAAATAATGGCTGTTAAATCTACGAGTTTATATCAAAAAGTGAAAAGTTTTTGTTATTCTAATAACTAATCATTTTGAAAAAAATTTACATAATTATTTTTCCAAGTTAGTTAGTTAGTTAGTTAGTTATATTCTATTTTCTTTATAAATAATGTTATAATATCGCTTTCTTTTATAAAAGCAATTTTAATGTCATCAATAGGAATTTTCAATCAACCACACAGACTCTCGGAAAACGCAATTAGATAACTGTTACAAAAACATTTGAAAACATAGTTATTGTTAAATATACGGTGTATAACAACAAGAAATTTTGACGAATAATAATGTATCAATTACGTGTATCTATTAATTGCATATACTATTTTAACAGGGTGATTCCAGTGGCACACTCGTTGCCGATGGCATCTTGATTGGTATCGTATCCTTTGGTATGTTTTCATGTGGTAGAGCGGCTTCCCAGAAACGCGTAATGCGAAATAATATCTTCATTTATTTAAATTGATTTATTTTTAATGAAAAACTATGTTATTCTTATAATGCTGTCTTGTAATATTATTTGAATATACCCACCCCCAACAACATATTAAAATTCAAAAATGCCTTATTAGTAATAAATAATTTAGCTATCTATTTATACAATAGGTTAGTAACAAAACATATACGCATTAGCAATAGAATATTTATACACTTGTATTTTAAAAATGTTCAAAATCATGTAAATTTATAAGTCAAAAACAGATCAGTTGATTATTGGTATTTTAATTCAAAACCACATAGTATGCAAAAATATTTTGTTAATATATCTGGAATAAATACTTTGTCTTAAGAATAATGAGCAATCTCTTAATATATTCATATATATATTTATATATATTACGCACAAGATACAAAATATGCAACTTCTCCCGCTATTTCAGAGGCATAAATATATAATCGTAATACAAATAGTGCTGACTCAAGAGAGTTTAAGCGAAAAAATATTATCATCCCCGACGATACTATTCTGCGAACGCCTCCCTCTTACCTGCGCAAAAAGATAACGTGGATCAATACGTGGAAAATTGATTAATTTTGATCAACGGTTATATAAATCGAAGATAACGCGCTTCATGGGCCTCAGTAACCGTCACTATGCTTTCTATTACCGGTCTCACAATCGCGTGCGCTGCAATATATTACAGCACCCATGGTAAGTGTATTCTGAAAATCTTATTAATGAAAAAATGTAAATTGAGTGCATTACGAGCTTCGACGCATCACGAATAATTCGAACGTGTATTACAACGATATTGCTCGATCGGATTGTTACGTAATTTCCGTCACGCGCTTATTTGATCGTCCGAATGAGTTGCATTTTGTCTCAGTTTTGTAATAAACCTAAATATCGCAATAATTATTTAAAAAATTATCTTTTAGTGCTTATCGTATATTTCTAAACGTAACGTAGCATATCTGTTCAGTAAATTTTTATCGCATATTTTAAAAACGACGTGGCGATCTAAGCCCATAACTTTAAAAATTGTGTTAAATTATATTATATTAAAATTTATATATATTTGCTCGTAACTTATTTCGCGCGCGTGTGCATTTTTAAACGTAATCTATATTATTTATATGCAAAGAATAACTATTAAAGTAAAGAAAGAAAATTAATATATAAAAAGACAAAAGTTATATTATATATAATAGACAAGAGTTTTATATTTGTATAGCTAATTTAGCATTGATACTTTTAGAATCGTATTATGCAGGAAAATAAAAATATTTTCAATCGGTAGGGTGTCTGGCAGACACGCAAATCGTCGGCGGCACCAATGCTCCAGATGGTATGTATCCTTATCAAGTATCATTGAAGGATGCATCCAATGGAAGGCATTTTTGCGGTGGGGCCATCGTTAGCAAGAAATATATTATTACCGCGGCGCATTGCTTGGCAGGGTATGCATATCCTCTTTTCTTTTCCACAGTCCAAAACATTTAACTGTCTAATTCTTATTCATTATTGCATTTTGTACATTTGTAATTTTGTAAAAGAAGAAAGATATCATTATATACCGTCTAAATGCAAGTTTAATATAAAACGAAATTATAAAAATATGGAAAATTTGAAAAAACATGCAACGATTTTTTATATCTAGAGATATATGATTTATATTATTTATATAATCAAGATTACCTCTCCACTCAGACATTCAGACAAGTATAATAGCGTTAAATAAATATTGAAACAAAAAAATCATCTTTTAGACTCCTAAATTAAATCAAAGCTAGATAATCATAAACTTTACTGATTGTTACAGTCGGCGATATCCATCCGACATTCAAATCGGTGTTGGAAGCAATAATCTTCAGTCACAAATTATATATACCGCAGATGCTCTAATAATACACGATAATTACAACAAGACGCAATACCCTAATGACATTGGTTTAATTAAATTATCGAAAGACATCACATTTAATAAAACCATCACATCGACAGCTATAATATCTGACAACAAGAATTTTGAAGGTGTTAGATTGCAAGTCTCTGGTTGGGGAAGACTCTGGGTAAATATAAGAAATATATCTAATATCTCATTTAAAATTATCTATCAAAATTATCTAACCAAAATTTATACACAAGGGCGAGTTTTGACAAATATTATTTTACAGCTCTCGAGAACTTTCAAGAACGATATATTATATTCTTTATCATTTCTATATCAAAACTAAGGTATCAGGCATTAGTTTAAAACACTTTATTTTCAGGCGGGCGGTCCGGTTCCAGTACGCCTGCAACATGTCACAGTAAGAGGATATTCTCAAAAGAGTTGCGCTGCGATATACGCACCCGATATCACCGATGGTCATATATGCACCCTTGAATCGAGGGGTAAAGGAGTTTGCAATGTAAGTATATAATTGTAAAATAAATCGTGCACGCGTTTACCTCATAACAACCTTTATCGCGCTAAAAATTATAAAAAAGTTTAGTAAAAAAAATAGTAATGCGTCGTTGCTTTATCTATGTTAATGTCAGATTGATAAGGAATGACGAATGACATTTTTATCGTTCTGATAATTTGTTAGAACTAGTTCTGATAGAAAAGCGGTTAATTGCTTTACAAAAACAACTTTAAAGTGACGATTATTAACGTCACGCGCTGATATCTAAGAGAATCAATATTTGGATGAAAAATTCTGGCGAATATTACTACATTAAATACGCTGACTCGGCAGGGTGACTCTGGTGGTGCGCTTACTTACGGAGACAAACTAGTTGGCATCGTGTCTTTTGGTGTTCCATGCGCCGAGGGCTATCCAGATGTGTTCACTAGGGTGTACTACTACAGAGACTGGGTCAACAAATATATTAATGCAGCCAACAATTAAACATCCTTCTCTGACTTTTTACAACGTATCTATGCATACATTCATTTTTGTAGATACATATATTTTATTGCGCGCGCCTGTGATCGGCTAATTTTAATTATTGAATATTACGTGAAGATGAAAATGAAGTTGTTAAGAAAAAATTATATTGTTACGGATGATATATTTTAACTTATGAAATTTCTCTTCTATTACATGTAATATATATATTGTATACATAAAATATATTATTTAATTATATTTCGATATTACGAGATTGAAATTGATCTACCTTGATATTAAACGTATAATCTTAAGATTCTTTAAAAAATATACAAAGATTTATACTTTCAGAAATTTGGCACAAAAATAAGTTGCGAAATTAAGTTGGTGCATATAAAATTTTGGATATTTTAATGAATAATTAAAACATTATACCTACTTAAAAGAAATACAACTTATTTAATCAAAATAAGCTTTATTGGCATCAATACATTTCTCTCAATGATTTTACAATGAATACATACTATATTTACTAAAAACTATTTATTTTACTCTTTAACTTTAAACTATTTAACTCTATGAATTATTTTACAGTTGTCTCTCTCTCTCTCTTTCTCTCTCTCTCTCTTAATATTATTTTTATTTTTAAAAATTGTCTTTTAAAAAATAAAGTTAAAAATGTTTGAAAATATGACAATCTGTAGATGATACATCCAATGAATAAGAAAGATGTGGTAGGATTTCATAATTCAATTTATTTTACTTTATTGTTATTCGAAATGTACATATGCACCCGAACATTGTTGTTAAGAATTATATTGGTCCATAATGATTGATCAAAAATGTTATATTTTTATTTATACATATTTTATATTCATTCTTCTAACGAATTCTCTTGTCATTTGATTAGGATCTTTTCCTACTGAGGCTCTTAAAATACTATTATCAAACTATTACAGCTTTACCATGCAACTCACTTTACCAAAATAAATAATCTTTACAATGGAATTTTTGAAACCAACGCTATACTGTTCTTTTTATGAACAGTGTGTTTTCTCTAAAAACTCTGTTAATATCCGTGAGTAGCTGCAGTAGCAATTAATATTCCTTAATTTAAATTCATATAAAAAAATTGTGCAAATTTCATTGAAATTTATGCTTATTTGGAACTTTAAGCAAAACAATCCAAATGCGTTTTAAAATAAAGAGTTCTATATGAGACAGTACCTAGAATAACAAGCATAATTATAATTATAAGTGATTAAATTGTATATATACCAGTTAATTTCGTCGCTGGTGGTATCTAAAACAGAAAAATCGAAAGAGAAAGAAGATAAGGATGACCAAGAAGGTGAAAAAGAGATGCGGCAGACGAAGCATAATAGTGAGGTTTGAACCTGACTTTCTAATGTGAACCGATTCTTTTCTCTCTTCCTCGATATTTATTAAAGTATATATTCAGTGCACCACAAAATGAACTTTTATTGCTTTCATTCAATATGTATATAAATACCTAACGAAATCGTAGCTATTAGTAAATAAAACCGTCATCATAAATGAGCCTCTGCGAAAATTTATGCGTTACTTATATCTAGGTGGTATACTACTCAAAGTGTGTCAAATATATGTATATGTGTATATATTTCATGTCTTTTATTTAGTTCAGGAGATGAGGCCAAATAGTTCCAAATCACGCGTCCGTTCTTCTCCTTCAATTAGGACAGCAACATCGCGGGCCTGCGTAAAAAACGCAATCAAATAAATCCACTACTGATGAAAAACGGAATGGGAAAGCATATAAAAGGGCATTGGCGCTAAATTATTGCTGCAGGTATTTCATGAGCAATGATCATAATTTATTTATAAATTGTAACAAGATAAGGAATCTACGTATTATTGAATAAATCAAAGTATGTAAACGATTTCC